ATTACCAAGTTGTTGTTGTTGTTGTTGCTATGTGCCAGCGAGTCGGACCTGACTCATAGCGACCCCTCCTTGGGTTTCTGAGGCAGTATCACTATGGAAATAGATTGCCCAACCTTCCTTCCAAGGAGTGGCTGGTGGGTTTGAACTGCCAGCCTTCTGGTTAGCAGTCAAGTGCCCTAGGCACTATGCTACCAGAGCTCCCACCATTACCAGGAGGTCTCTTTAAATTGATAGTTGAATTTCAGAAGCTTATGGCTTCCATGTAAATAACTGACAGAACCTCAGTAGATGCCCTTATTTAGAGTTCTTCACATTCAAGAATTTCTATAAGTGCCCAAGAAGTGACTCTAATTCAGGTCAAGCCACAGCTTCCCATGTTCACTACTCTTACAGGTGTCCAGCCCAGGTTGTTGCTAATTATGCCTACACATCACTACAGGCCTCAGCTCCTTGCAGATCATCTTGGCCACTAAAGTCTCCATTCTCATGATGCTACTAGATCTGGAAATACATTTGGATTCAGGGCCTATACCCTAAAACCTGTTCAGTTAGGATTGCCCACCCTCAGCCTGTGGCCACAGCTTTGTGTCTTGTACCTGGCCAGACCAAATGTGGTACAGCCATGTGCACGCTGAAGTCCCATACTGAAGGAAGTAGATCGTTTCTGACATTCCCATCCATATCTTTAACATTCCTTTAACCAAGGGACAATGAGTCCTGAGCCCCAGTACCATCCCTAACTTTTCTTCTCTTGGTCTGTATTCATCTTTTCTTCCTTTACCTGAAGTCACCTTCCTCTCTCCTGCAGGTTGTACTGTGAGGATTAATTCCCCACCAAATTAGGAATATAAATGGCGATATTATTTACATAAGTGGTTCTCAATGTAGAGAGTGGATCATTTTGTTCCCCAGAAGACATTTGTTTGAAGGAAAATGTCTGGTGCTATTTTTGATTGTCATGCCTGTGGCACAGTGCCTAAGGCACTTGACTGCTAACCAGAAGGCTGGCTGTTCAAACCTACCAGCCACTCCTCGGAAGGAAGATGGGGCAATCTACTTTCGTAGTGATACTGCCTCAGAAACCTAAGGAGGGGTCACTATGAGTTGGATCCGACACCATGGCAGTGAGGTTTTGTGTGTGTGTGTGGGGGGGGGGGTGCTAGCTATCTAGTGGATGGAAACACCCTAAAATGTACTGGGCAGCTTCCCACAACAAAGAATTGCTCAGCCCAAATGTCAACAGTGCCAAGGTTGAGACATGCTGACTTCCATTTCTTGGAAGAGTTATTGAAAGTGACCATTTATTCAGAAGTACTACCACTAGGATTACCTAACCATGAAGTTTCAGTTTCCCAAGATTTTAGTTCAGTTGTCAAGTTTCACTGTTTCCCTTTTCTCCAGCTGCTGTGTTTTCCAGGTTGATAAGATAAATTCAAAAGACAATAAACTACTGATTCTCCCAAGAATCCATCCAGCCCAACAATCTCCTGGGGGGGGGTGGGAAGGATATTCAAATTCTATGTAGTTAATTTCAGCATGGTAAGCACCCACTAAGTAGTCAGGTATTTTGTTTCTTAACAAAATGCATATTCATTTAAAATTTTTGAAGATGATAATTTAGTTTTCTCCTAAACAATATATGACCAGAATTTTTTTTTTTCCATTGATATTTACCACTGATTACTATCAATTTAAACCTTAATAAACAAAGTCAATCTCTTGATCTAAATACAAGTAAGAGAAGGAACAGGGAAAAAGGGAGAACACAGAGGAAAACAAACGGTGAAACCACTGGAAAAGTGTTTGAACACTAGAGCTCTGTTAAGCTTTTCTACAGTTTTGGTGAGGAGGAAATTCTAGGTTTATTTTTCTGTGCAAAATAATTGGCTCAGTACTTTTCTAAAGTTTGGCTTTCTGTTTAATTCAAGATAAATACTACAATAGGCCACGGAGCTGGTGGCATAGTGCCTAAGGCATTTGACTGCTAACCAGAAGGCTGGCAGTTCAAACCCACCCACCACTCCTCGGAAGGAAGGTTGGGTAATCTATTTCCATAGTGATACTGTCTCAGAAACCCAAGGGGGGGTCACTATGAATCAGATCTGACTCTATGGCCGTGAGTTTGGTTTGGTTTTTTGCTTTTTTTTTTTTTTTTTTGCCTAAAAGCCTACCAGGAGCTCTGGCAGCTTAGTGCCTACAGCATTTGACTGCTAACCTCTAGAAGGCTGGCCATTCAAGCCCACTAGCCACTCCTCGGAAGGAAAACGGGACAATCTACTTCCGTAGTGATACTGCCTCGGAAACCCAAGGAGAGATAGTTATGAGTCGGATCTGACTCAATGGCACTGAGTTTTGGTTTGGTTTTGTTTGACAAGCCTACCACACCCACATTGCCTCATGGACCTCATTTCTTATGATTTTTCTTCTGTTCTCTCCACTCCACCAAACTATCCACACATGCCATGTATGCTCTCACCTAAGCATTTACTGTTTTCTCTGCTTGGGATGTTCTTTCCACCAAATTCACAGTGCTTACTCCTTCACCCTCTTCAGATCTTTGCTCAATTGCCTCCTTTTCAGTGAAACTTCCTCACCGCCAGTTTTGTAATTGTAAAACACTCCCCACAGCGAACCCTCTCTATGCCCCTTTCCTGTTTTATTTTTCTGTTTAGCACCAACTGGCAAACAACATGTTTTACTTGTTTATCATCTCACACTAGCATATAAACTCCATGGGGCCCTTGTCGATTTTATTCATTGCTATATTGTCACTCCTTGGAAGGAAGATGGGGCTATCTACTTCCATAGTGATACTGCCTCGGAAACCCAAGGAGGGGTTGCTGAGTCGGGTCCGACTGGACGGCACATAACAACAACAACAACATATTGGCAGTAAGATCCCTGGGTGGTATAAATGATCTACACTGGACTAACCTAAAGGGAGCTCTGGTGGTGTAGTAACTAAAGCATTTGACTGCTAACCAGGAGGCTGGCAGTTCAAACCCACCAGCCACTCCTTGGAAGGAAGGTTGGGCAATCTACTTCTGTAGTGACACTGCATCAGAAACCCAAGGAGGGGTCGCTATGAGTCAGATCTGACTCTATGGCAGTGGCTTTGGTTTGGGTTGAGTCGGATCTGACTCAACAGCAGTGGGTCGAGGTTTAAAGGTTGTCAGCTGAGTCCACCACAAAAGGAAGGCCTGGAAATTTGCTTATGTAAGGATTACAGCCAAGAAACTCTACTAAGCACATTTCTTTCCCTGACACATGGGAACGCCATGCGACGGAATCAAGTGGAGGGCAACCAGGCATATTGACATTGGAGTCCCTGGGTGGTCCAAATGGTTAACATGCTTGGCTGCTAATCAAAAGTCTCTTTTCTTTTTTTCCAAATTTATTTATTGTGATTTGTGTGAAAGTTTACAGAGCAAATTCCATACAACAATTCACACACATTTTGTTTCATAACATTGACTGCGATCCTCATAATGTAACAGCTCTCTTCCCACTTCCTCCCTATAGTTACTTCTTCCCTATGTCCTTTCCTATGCATCCTGCCCCCTGAGCAATCTCCCTGTGTAAATACTGCCCTTCTGATCTCCCATGATTGATTGTTCTAAGGAGGACACCCACCTGGTGTTCACCTTATGTACCTGTCTATTAAACAGGAAGCCTCAGGGTTATGTTCAATTCCAGGTCTGAAGGGTGACTAGGGGCCAGAGACTGGGGGATTCAGACCAGTAAGCCTGGTCTTTTTTTATGATTTTAAGATTTGTTTCACATTTTTCTCCCACTCTATCCAGGTTCTCCTGCACTTATCCCTTTCCAAGTGGTTGACAGTGGTAGCAGGGCACTGCTAGTTCTTCTGGGCTTATGGTCATACAGGCTGAGGTCCTTATGGTCCATTAGTTCCTTGGACCATGCATCTTTAACCAAAAAGTTCCAAGCATCTTTAACTGAAAGATTTTGACCTAAAAAATATGTTCTACTATAAATTTACTGGATGGAAATGACGGCACAGGTGCACAGCACTGCAGTGTTCATTGAATCAAAAACTAAAAGCATTGACTTCAGTTTCTGCTTAGGATGTAGAAAGCTGGAAAAGCCTCGCTTGGACCTTAGAACAAAAACAATGCCGAACAATCTCCTGTTATGTTTATATTAAAAACTAAAGTTCAGCCAACAGCACTGGGGTTCAGTAAGGTAGGTGAGAGCCCAGACCACCAGTCGGTTTCCTAAATACTAGGTCCCCACCTGCTGCAGAGGGAACATTTTAAACACGGAGGCACTCATCTGAGGACACGAGTGGCAGGATCTACATGCATTCCCAGGAAGCAAAAGGTCAGAATGTAATTCATTTGTTCCTAGGAAGAATGTATAACCAAATCGCCTGATGCCACTTACCTGGGGAGAAAAACTCAGCCCCCACCCCGGCGACCAAATGGCTGATCTACACATTTCAAAGGACCCCAAAGCTGAAGCTGAATCAATCATTAACCCCCTACCTCTCCTTTGTTCTCTGTGAGGAAAAAAAAAAAAAACAAACCTCTAACTGGATAGGTACAGCGGAGAGCGCTTTGTATTTTTCATTTAGTGCTGCTGAGCTTGAGCTGTATTATTCCTCAATAGAAATGCTTTTCTTTCACTCCTAACACAGTAGAGATTTTCTTCTCCGACAATGTAAATTCAACACCGAACCAACCTGCACTTGGCAAACATCTCCTTGCGGCTCCTCAGCCTGGCCCCGCCCCACTCAGCTCTATCAGAAGTTCCAGTTTCCTAGCGCGGGACTCCGCCCGGCGGAGGATCAGATTCACTTTCTAGTTTCCTTTTCCTGCTTGGGTCCCGGCATTAACAAAGACTACTGCCGCCGCACCAACCCAGAGCAGCAAACGCACCCCCCGGGCAGCCTGCACCGCGCGCCCGCCCGCCCGCGCGCTCCCGTACCCGCCGCGCTCGCGCCCCGCCGCTCGGCTCGCTGCTGGAGACCTCTAGTCCTGTAGAGAAAACCCGAGGGATTGCCGCCTCCCAGGACGGCCAGCAGAGCCCAGCCACCATGAGGTAAGGGCTTTTCCCCGTTTCTCCTCCCAAACCCCGTTTAGGCTTTTGTTTCAAGCCGGTGTTTTCCCTTAATTCCGTTCCCAGCTCGGTGGCACGGCCTTTTAAAGGGCTGAGCTGCTCGCGCCAGGCAGCCAGGCGTCTGCGTTCGGAACGCTTCCCGGGAGCCCTGTCCTGGGCGTGTGCAGTCTGGCCTATTAGGAGGGTGGCGGAGCGGATGCTCACCAGGAGTCGCGACCCTGCCGGGCGTCTGCAGTTGAGCTTGTCAGGAAGGGGGGCCGCGCGACATTCCCAGGGAACCTTGTTCTTTCCCTGGAATCTGACGACGGGACAGTAAGGGCATGTAGCCTGGGGGCCCTTTCCCGGGGTCCTTATCCTCCGCCCGGAAGTCTGCAGTCGGATTTGTCGGGGCGCGTGTCCAGGCGACGCTCCGCTTTTCGGTGAGGAGAGCCCTGCCCCTCCCCGTGGTTCTCCTCAGCGCCGGGGTGGTGACCGTGTGGCGTTCGTGGCTGCCTGCTCCTGGGTAGAGGTAGCTCTTTAGCGCCCGCAGAGCCTTCTTCTTCTGCAGGGGAGGGTCCCCGAGGGGCCCTCCCGGCGGCTTCTACGTGGCACGGGTCTCCTTAGGCCCGTGGCGTTGCTGTCCATCCCAGGTCTCCAGCTGCCACTCCCTCAGTGTTGGCCACATAGCTTCACTGTAGCTCTCGAAGCGATGTCAGCTCCTGCCATTTTGCCTTTCTGATTTACACAAAGCTATTTTACCCTTCCTCTAAGCTACATTTGTACTATGTACAGATTGATAATGTTCCACCCAATTCACTATTTTAGGAGGTTTCTTTATCTGCCGCTTTTACTAATTTATGATGGTGAAGTCCTTTTCTTACCGTTTTGTATCCTTAGGGGCTAGCACCCAGCCCAGCCAGCGGTTAGTGAGCCATCCACATTTAATCAGCTGAGGCAAGAGAGGTTAAGAGCTTGTGCTCTAGAAGCAGATAGTCCTTTGTTCTAAATCCTAACTCTCAGCATCCATGAGTTGGGTAACACCAAGTTTCTTAACCTCTGTGAACCTCAGTTTCTCATCTGTGAAAATGAATGGCATCCATCTCTTGGGACTGTGCCATGAGTTAACTAAAATAATTCATGTAGACTGCTTAGCACATAATACGTGCACAATAAATATTAACTCTTAAGTATTGTGAGTTAAAATAAATGTTAAGTGCCTCACTTCTAACATTTGTGAGAAAAAGGGAGGTATCATGAAGGGACTTGAAAGAACAGAGAGTTTATAGGGCGACTGCTGTGTATATGTCAGATGATGGCGTGGAAGGGGGTGGGCCCCACTGGGACTCACTGTGTCCCAGTGACAACGAAAGACAGCATCTTCCTAGCAAAAGACCAAAATCACCTACAGATAAATGTTTTTTCTTCAGGCACAATAATCACTCTCTGCCAGCTTCCCAGGAAACGAGTTAGAAAATAAAGTAGAACTAATGTTGTCTAGTTCTGAGTAAATTCCAGAAAGTCTGGGCAAAGCACCTTACTGGCTGGCTCACTGTCTGAGTATCCCCTTGAGATCTCACAGCCATATTCATATTACCTGAAGCAGTCTTCCTCATCTTCCCTGGGCTGGGTTGATAGAGACTTTAGAACACAGGTAGATGTTCAGATGACACTATGAACGATCAGGGGCCCAATAAGCCCATATTATCATGGCTCAGGGCAGTCTGTGAAGGTGTGATATCTTGTGCCCATGCTTTTGATGCAGTTATACCACAGAAGTGAACAATTACCAAGGGATGGTCCTACCAGATTTAACAATCAACAGCACAGGAGACAGTCCAAAACCTATTTTCAAAATCCAAACATGGAGCCAGGCGAAGAGTATATACCAAGATACAAAGACACAGGGGAAGGAGCTGAACTGGGAGGAACTTTGGAGCCATAGCAGGAAAGGAAGGACTTGTAGGAATTCCCTCTACTAGAATTTAGGTGTTCCCTGTGCTAGACCCATGACTCTGTTCACGTGCCAGGAATTGCGCATTCATTCAATCATTTAACAAATATTTATTTATTAAAGTTCTACTATGTTCCTAGCATTCAGAGATGAAAACAAAATCATAACAAGATCTCTATTCTCATGGAACTTACATTTTAATGGGGGAAATAGACAAACAATTGATAAGGGAATAAACAAACAACATAATTCAGTGTTAAGAGCCATAAGAATGACAGAACAGTATACACCCACTCCTCACTTATTGACATGCTTAGAGTCCAAAGACCAGGTTTTTATGTGAAAATGGAGGTTGACTACATCATTATATAACTGCCAAACCACTGGGAATCATGGCCCAGACAAGTTGACATATAACCTTAACCATTACAGCCAGCATTACTCTTGCCTCACACCTCAACATTCATTACTGCTAGATGTATGTTGTTAATGCACAAAAAATCAGAGATTTTTTTACTGTTGTACACGTGAAATGTTGGATAATGAGATAGTTGATAAATGAGGAGTAGGTGTAATGAACTAGAGAGTGGCCTAGGATAGAGGGGCTGCTTTAGATAGATCTGTCACAGGTGGGAAAGCTCTGGTGGCATAGTGCCTAAGGCATTTGACTGCTAACCAGAAGGCTGGCAGTTCAGATCCACCAGCCACTCCTTGGAAGGAAGATTGGGCAGTCTACTTCTGTAGAAGTAACGCTTCAGAAACCCAAAGAGGGGTCGCTGTGAGTTGAAATCGACTCGGAAACCCAAGGTTTTGGTTTGGTCACAGGTAACCTCTTAAAAAATTACACTGTGAAGAACATGCAAGAGCCAAGAACAACTCCTAAACCACTAGCCTGTGGAGTCAATTCCAATTCATAGCAACTCCAAATGTCAAAACTATACTCTCTAGAGTTTTCATGGCTGTGAGCTTTTAGAAGCAAATCACCAGATGTTTCTTCCAGTGCACCCCTGAGCGGGTTCAAACCACTACCCTTCTTGTTAGTAGCCTAGCAGTTAACCATTTGTGCCACTCAGGAATTTCTACAGGTGGCCTTTTAGGAGATATTTGAGCTGAGTTAAAAGAAAGAGCTAGTCATCAAAGATTTGGGAGCAGGGTATTCCAGGTAGAATAAGAACCAAAACCAAGCCAAACCCAGTGCCATCGAGTCAATTCTGACTCATAGCAACCCTATAGGACAGGATGGAACTGCCCCAGGGTTTCCAAGGCTGTAAATCTTGAAGCAGACTGGATTTGAACAGCCAACTTTTTGGTTAGCAGTTGAATGCTTTAACCACTACAACATCAGAGCATCTTAGAATAAGAACAAAAGGTATAAAAGTTCTTGAACTTGGTATGTTTGAAAGATAGAAAGGTGGTGTATATAAAGCATAGTGAATGATAGAATAATTTTGAGAGGTAGTTAACACTATCTCCTTTGGGGATTTGTAGGACATAGCAAAGGCTGGATTAATACCTATGGGTATTGGGAAGACATTGGAAGATTTTAATTAGGTTACCTGGTTTATGTTTTCAAAAGTTTACTGGTGCTATGTGGAGAATGAATTGTAGAGGACTAAGAGCGTAAGCAAGGAGCCCAGATTTTTGCCTCAGTTCAAAGGAGATAGTTGTAGTTTAGACTAGGAAGATAGAAGTGGAAATGAGGAAAAGTGGATGGATTTGGGATATATCTAGATGGTAGAATTAACAGAATTTGCTATTAAGATTGATGAAGGGGTCAGGGAAGAAGAGGAATCAAATATTCCAGTTGCCATGGAGTGGATTCTAACTCATGGTGACCTCATATGCTGTTGAGTAGAACTGTGGTCCATAAGGTTTTCATAGCCGTGACCATTTGGGAGCAGATTGCCAGGCCTTTCTTCCAAGGCACCCCTGGGTGGGTTTGAAAGTCCAGTCTTTCATTTAGTAGCCCAGTGGTTAACTGCTTGCACTACCCTTTCCTCCCTACCTCCATAAAGTGAATATTCATACACTAGTTATATCCTGTATTTTAAAGCAAACCATTCCAAAGATAACCTCCAATTTTAGTGAATTATATACAAAGAGATTATATAGCTTATGGTTGAAAGGCATAGCCTTTTGAGTAAGGCTGAACTAGATTTGAATTTTGTGCTCAGCCACTATACCTGTGTGACCTTGGATGTGTAACTTAAAGTGTGTCTCTCAGTCCTCATCCATAAAATTGTGAAAATACTGGGAGATTGTTATGAAAATTTAATATAATTTGTGTAACTTATATACAAATTGGAGCTCTGGTGGTGTAGTGCCTAAAGCATTTGACTGTTAACCAGAAGACTGGCGATTCAAATCCACCAGCCACTTCTCAGAAGGAAGATTGGGCAATCTACTTCCATAGAGATACTGACTCGGAAACCCAAGGAAGGGTTGCTTTGAGTCACAAACGACTTGACAGCCATGGGTTTTATATACACACACACACACACACACACAAATTATATACAGTGTTTTGCACACTGTCTATATGTAGCAAACTGTCAATGAATGATAGCTTTATTTTATTTTTTTAATTTTTATGAGGACATGCTTAATTTTATATGGTCTGTTATGGATAGTGTATGTGGTGGCATAGTGCCTAAGGCATCTGGCTGCTAACCAGAAGGATGGCGGTTCAAACCCACCAGCCACTGCTTGACAGGAAGATTGATTGGGTGATCTACTTCTATAGAGATAACCCCTCGGAAACACAAGGAGGGATCTCTATGAGTCGGATCCAACTCAATGGCAACGAGTTTGGTTTTTGGTTTGGAACATTTACAATACTGAGCTGAATCTGCAGTAAGCCCAGGTCATAATCATAAAGCTTTTTTTTCATATATGTCTTGTTTTTCATTTAATTTAACCCTTCTCCTTGAATAAAACAGCAAAAAGCTCAAGTTAAAGGAGAGCTCTAACCTGTTGGGTTTGAGGCTGTTTTAGACCATTAGACCCTATAGGCCTGGTATCTAGAACTGCCCTGCCCAGTACTGTAGGCACTAGTCACATACGACTATTTAAACAAGTAAAATTAACTAAAATTAAAAATTCATTTCTTCAGTCATACTAGTCACTTTCAAGTACTTAGTGGCCCACAATATTGCACAGCACAAATAAGAACATTTTCATCATGGAAAGAAGTTTCCTTGGAAATCTCTGATATGGAACCTACAAACATTAAAACATTTGACACAAGTATATACATGTGTGTGTGTATGTAAAGGGATTGAAAATGAAAATATTAGAAAATTGAAATGACCACTATATCCTCGGAAGGAAGGTTGGGCAATCCTACTTCTGTAGTGATACTGCCTCGGAAGCCCAAGGAAGGGTCACTTATGAGTCGGGGCCAACTCGATGGCACATAACAACAACAACAACAACTATATGCTAATTCAATATATACAAGTGTTACACTAAGCCAACTCTATTAATTTTGAAATTTACTATTCTTAAAAATAGAAAAATATTTCATGGAGTAGTTTATTAGGTTATAAATATGAAATTTTTCTATTTTTCCAGTCTCTGCTACTAACTGTGCAATCAATCTAATTCTCCAACTTTTCTGTCACTTGTGGCTATTATATCAGCCTCCTTCTTTCTAGTTCCTAAAGACTCAGTCCTATTCAATTTAAAATCTCAATCTCATATTTGAGGCAAACTGCTCTTCTCCTACTACCGAACCTCCAGCATATGTTGATGTAAGTGTTATAAACAACAGGAAAATGTGACATATTAGACTTTAGGATGACCAGCAAGGTGAGGGTGCAACTTTAGCTAATATGGTCAGGGTAGACCTCTTAGAAGAGCTGAAATTTGAGCCAAGACCAGACTTTTGAGAATGAATAACCCCTAGAACTCTCTTAGTCAGCGTCCACAGGTAAGGGAATAACAGGAGCAGATGCCCTGAGGTGAGTACACACTTGGCCTAAAAACAGTAAGTGTTTTAAAAAGGCCAGTATGGCTAGATTGCCGTGAATAAGAGGAAATATGTAAGACATGGCCAGAGACAAGCACGGCCAGGTGATGAAGGAAGGGCATGGCACCTATGGTAAGGAGTTTGGAGCTGGAGACAATAGATTTGAGTATTAACAATGGATAGCTTCACTTTGCCCTATAGTCCATCTTTCTTGCAATCACCCCGTCTTTCCCCATCACCAGTTTCTCCTTTAATACTGGATCATTCCCATTGGCATATAAGCATGCTTTAGTATCATTAAAACTGTCTTCAAAAGTCATTAAAAACATCATGATTAAAATTTATTGGCAATTCCCGTTTCCCTCCAGCTGTAGCTCCTTTTCTCTACTTCCTTCATTGTAAAATTCCTTGAAAGAGTCGCCTATACTCCCCATACCCATGTCTTCACCTTCTAGTCTCCCCTTAGCCCCCTCCAGTCATGTTTTTATCTCTTCTATTGTATTAAAATGCCCTTATCACAGTCCCTCACAACTCTCATTCTGCTATATTCTCCATTTTCTCAATCGGTGCAAGTTATGTTTCCTTCAATGTATTCTTTTTCTTATTTCTCACTTTCTCCTCTTCTTTCCCTTCACTATTTATATTACAGAAATGGAATTTTTATATTTATTATTGAATAGGTATAGATTTATTATTCTTCATTTTCAGAGCTGATAAATAGAAAACTTTTGAATTACCCTGTGGACTAGTGACTGCCAAAAGGACATAAACTAAAACCAAACACATTGCTATTAAGTGGTCTGATTCATGGTGACCCCATGTGTTACAAAGTAGAAATGTTTTATAAGGTTTTCTTTTTTTTACTGAAGCAGATCATCAGGCCTTTCATTCGCTGTGCTGCTGTGTGGATAAACACTGCCAGCGTTCAGGTTCGTAGACAAGGTGAACTGTTTGCACTACCAGAATGCCCTGTCACTTATCCAGAATTGATTTTGTAATAAATAATAGGAATTTACTGAACTATTCTTAGGACGTAACTGTACATAGAGGAAACTCTAGTATAAAGTTACAAGGGCCTAGTGCATTAACAGTAAGGTTAAATTGGTAGTTATGCAAAGAATAGTATTTAGAGTTTAAAAACTATTTCCTATATTTTTTCAAAAATTAAAAAGGATTTTATCTTTGACAGTGAAATTCCTAAGGAGTCCTTGGAGGCCATCTTGTTGGAGTTAGAATGTCACTTTACATGGAATTTACTGAAAGAAGACATCGATTTGTTGGATGTAGAAGATACGATTGGGCAGCAGCTTGACTTTCTTACTACAAAACCCCGACTCACTCTTTATAACCTATTGGCTTATGTGAAACACTTAAAAGGCCAAAATAAAGATGCTTTAGAGTGCTTGGAGCAAGCAGAAGAAATAATCCATCGAGAACACTCAGACAAAGAAGAAGTACGGAGTCTAGTCACTTGGGGAAATTATGCCTGGGTGTATTTTCACATGGACCAACTTGAAGAAACACAAAAGTATATAGACAAGGTTGCAAACGTCTGCAAGAAATCATCCAGTCCTTCTAACTACAAGCTGGAGCGCCCTGAGATTGACTGTGAGAAAGGGTGGGCACTCTTAAAATTTGGAGGAAAGTATTACCAAAAGGCTAAAGGAGCTTTTGAGAAGGCTCTGGAGGCAGAAGCTGACAATCCCGAATTTAACATTGGCTATGCCATCACGGTGTATCGGCTGGACGACTTGGACAGAGAAGGTTCGGTAAAGAGCTTTTCTCTGGGCCCTTTAAGGAAGGCTGTTACCCTGAACCCAGATAACTCCTACATTAAGGTTTTCCTGGCCCTGAAGCTTCAAGATGTACATGCAGAAGCTGAAGGGGAAAAGTATATTGAAGAAATACTGGACCAAATATCAGCCCAGCCTTATGTCCTTCGCTATGCAGCCAAATTCTATCGCCGAAAAAACTCTTGGGACAAAGCTCTTGAACTTTTGAAAAAGGCCTTAGAGGTGACACCAACCTCTTCTTTCCTGCATCACCAGATGGGGCTTTGCTACAGGGCACAAATGATCCGGGTCAAGAAGGCCACACGCAACAGGCCTAAAGGAAAGGACAAACTCAAAGTCGATGAGCTGATTGCGTTTGCTATATTTCATTTCAAAGCAGCTGTGGAACGGGACTCCATGTTTGCATTTGCCTACACAGACCTGGCCAACATGTATGCTGAGGCAGGCCAGTACAGCAATGCTGAAGACATTTTCCAGAAAGCCCTTCTTCTGGAGAATATAACTGATGATCACAAACATCAGATCCACTACCACTATGGCCGCTTTCAGGAATTTCACCGAAAATCAGAAAAGACTGCCATCCATCATTATTTAGAAGCCTTAAAGGTCAAAGAAAGGTCATCTCTGCGTACCAAACTGACAAGTGCTCTGAAGAAATTAGCTACCAAGAGACTTGGCTACGATGCCTTCGATGTGCAGAGTTTAAGTGCCCTTGGGTTCCTTTGTAAGCTGGAGGGAGAAAAGAGGCAAGCTGCTGAGTACTATGAGAGGGCTCAGAAGTTAGATCCTGAGAACGCTGAATTCCTAACTGCTCTCTGTGACCTTCGACTTTCCATTTAAATACATTCCTAGAAAGTTAGTTCTGAGCCCTGCCCCCTAGTTTTTGGTTTTCATATTTTTGATTTTCCATTGTTTTAATCCATTGCTCATTATAGATCCAATATTTACTGAATGGTTATTGTGTATCAGGCATTTTACTAAATGCTTTATATATGTTATGATGGATCTTGGGCTATTTTTTTCTTTTATTATCAAAATGGTTCATTGAGAAACAGCAACATTCCTGCTATTATAACTTTAAAAAATGATATGGCCAGTAGGACTGTACACCCTTTATCTCTGCTAATTATAATTTTCTGATTAAATTTCATCAGATTTCCTACATTACTTACTTATGCAGTAAATATAATCCTATAAAGCCTCTGACATCTAGGTCAGGAACACTCTTTTAGGAGTGCGGAATTATTAGTTATGCTCTTAATTGTAGTTTGGAGAAGATAGAATCTTTCACTTACGGATTTCTAATCTTGATCAGAATATTTAACCATCAACCTGATAATTATCTGAAGAATTTTCTTTTTGGGGAAAAAAGTTCATAATAAAGAGTTTGTTATCTCTGATGACTTCAATGAAAGCAGAGAAAACTAGAACAAGAGAAAACAGATTTCCTCAAACTTTAAATGTATACAGAATTTCAGCAATCTATGAGAAATCAGAAATATTATCTTACCAAATGTTCATAAGTTAAGTAGCTAAAAATAGTTATGAGGAAAAAAATGAATAATGCAAAATAATTAGTTTCAAATGTCTCTGGTTCTTTTAACTAGAAGAGAAAATCTAAATTGATATACTTCTAATTACAATTGCAATATTTTTAGGTTAAAATCATTGTCATAGAAAGCAGACCAATTGAGAAATTGGGGAAAATGATAAACAAATGGATAAAGTATATGCCATTAACCTATATCCTTACATTACCAAGATCTCAGTGTATTTATTTTGGTTCTGAAGTGGGTATAGTGCACATTTCTGGACTTTCATTAATTTCTTTAACGACTTCTGTGAAGCTTTTTCTTTTGTCTGAAGTTTTCAGATTGGCATTTTTTCCTGCAGCTCCCCCAGGAATAATTAAACCCAGCTTTCATATCCACCTTGAGAGGTCACTGTTTGCTCTTATCTGAAGGGAATTTTTACACTGGGACATTATATGTGGCTTCTCTCACATTGTTCCTTTGGTTATAGACTGCACAGTTATATTCACTACCACAGTATTAGTGGAAAAGTTTGCCATGTGATTTAATCCTCCATACCCAAAATGTAGCTCTTAAAATTATTATATGTGTAGTTTTTACTTCTTGTTACTTTTTTTAAAAATTTCTATTATGGTTTTAATTATTATAAAAGTACTGAATTCTTACTGTAACATTTCAGACAATACAGAAGTATGTGAATTTAAAAGTAAGAGCACTCCTTAGCCTACCCCAGTCCTACACCCCCAAGGTAAACTGTTAACAATTTTATATATATCCTTCCAGATCTTCTTTTCTATGCATATTCAAACATACACACACACATATATATATATTTATATATATACTGCTGTGTATCTCATGTAATTAAATTTTTTTTAATGTTTTGTTTTACTTAAATCCCTGCTGTTTTTGATTATTTTTCTTATTGTTGATTTAAAAAGGAAGAACAGGAAAGAGAATGATCTTTATTCAAGAATTTAAAAAATTCTGGACTAGAGTCCTGATCTTTTCATTAGAAACATTCATTCCTTTTGTAGTAAATATTTTAGGATATTACCTAACAAAGCAGGTCATTTTAACCCCACTGGGAATAACGTTGAAATTAAAAAAGATGATGCTCCTAACTAGGGACTTCACATGCTTTAAAGTACAGTTATCAAAACAGCAATATCAAAGATACAATGATGAAGTCTACATATTTTAAATAATATGCATCAAGGCCTATTAAATGACTTAAAATTCCACTAGATATTAAAACATGGCTATATATAAGAAGTTATACCATACTAAGAAAGTATAGAATCAGAATGTGAAGAATATGATCTCAAATATTAAACTAAAATGAATATGTTGTCTATGATAACTTGAAATTTTGTCATTCATTGTGTTTACTCTCCTAAAACTTACAAGAACTATTTGGAGATAATTTCATAGTTTTGGGATTGAAAAAGACCTCATAGTTCACCTTTCTCAGTTAATCATCAGAACTGGAGGCTTGAATTATCTTCCTAAATAGATAATCTCATCTTTATTCTTAGAAATTTGTTCATTCAATTGAACAGACTTTTGGCTTATACTGTACACATTTTAATCTTGGGTCTGTCTTTAGGTACCTCAAAGATATAATCCTTTTAGAAGTGACATCCCTCCTGTAGCAGAACTCTTGATTGCAGAGGGTAGAAAACCCAGCTCAAACTGACCCAAGCAAAAACAGGAATATAATGACTGATGTAATTTAATAGTCCAGTGGGTAGCCTTAGTTTCCAATGAATTTGAAAAGATAAGTCTCCAGAAACACATCAGGGTCTATTATTAGAAGTCCAGTGATGCTGAGCAACGAAAAATCAAATGTCTAATACACGTACATAAAAGTATTTGAAAACAGTTGTCCTTTCTCTCCCTGAGACTTTCACCTTGTCCAAATAAGACATACTCAGTTCTCCTCCTCATCATGGTCAGTTTGACTTTACTCCAAATTGTCTGTTGTTTGCTAATTGTGCTCAGAGTTTAACTCAATACACAAGGTGAGAGTTTGGGACTATAGGAGAATGATCCCTTCTTTTTGTAAATTGTACTTTTATTAATGTGGCCAAAATCAAAGTACTCATTTTGTACCTACATGTACAAAATTTTTCCACACGTGCTATTTAAAGTACTTCTTTTACACCCCATACCTGAGCAGTTGGCATATTGAAACTGAAATTTCTGTCTTTGTCACTTGGTTGTTTGGTTCAATTAAAATGACTCATACCTCTTAAATTGTTCAGGAAAAGTTTGTGTATGAAATGCTATTCATTGCAGAAAGCATAACTAATAGCAGGAAACTCAGCTTAAACAGGCTTTAAAGCAGTAAGAAAAATAAATAAATCTTGTGGTTCAAGCAGCGCAACCAGGAAAGCAGTCGCTTTCTCTGCTTCCCAGCTCTGATGTGTTAAATTAGGCTCCATTCTGAGAAATTCTTACTTTTGTGGTCCTAGGAAGGCTGCCAGATGCTTTATTATTCCTATCCATATCTCTTCTGTCAGCCATCTAAGAAAAGGCCAGGTCTGCACTCTGGTAAGACCATCTTAGGTCACTGACATGCCTAACCTCAAATCATTCAGCATGGCCAGGGTGTGTTGGGGGGCAGGTATTACACTCATTGGGTAGTTCTGGGCCACATAGCTGGTCCTGAGAGCCAGGATTGGGTAAAAAGGGTTGACTTCCCTGGAACCACATGGTGCAAGGATGAAATTATCAAGAAAATTGGTACTGGATACTTGTTGTATGTGCCATTGAGTTGGACCCGACTCATAGTGACCCCTCCCTGGGTTTCCAAGGCAGTATCACTATGGAAGTAGATTGCCCAACCTTTCTTCCAAGGAGTGGCTGGTGGGACTACATACTGGCAGCCAAAAATACCAAGGATCGATAGGTTTGAATCAATGCCTTTCCCCCCGCTATTTGGGAGTCCCTGGGTAGGAGCTCTAATGGCATAGTGCCTAAGGCACTTGATTGCTAACCAGAAGGCTGGCAGTTCAAACCCTCCAACCACTCTGCAGAAGGAAGACAGAGTAATCTACTTCTGTAAAGATTTACTGTCTTGGAAACCCAATGGGGGTTACTAGGAGTCAGAATCAACCTGATTGCAGTAAGTTTGGGGTTTTTGGGGGGGATTGGTGCAGATGGTTAACACACTCAACTGGTATCTGAAAGGTTGGTGGTTTAGTACACCCAGAGGGACCTCCAATCTACTTGCAAAAAATTACCCGCTGGAAAACCTATGGAGCACATTTCTACTCTGACGTGTATGGAGTCACTACCATGAGTAGCAGTCAACTAGATGGCCACTGGTTTCATTTGTTTCTAGAGAGTCAAAATTGCAAATTACCTCAGTTCAAAGATAACCTTGTACACCCACAGAACTTTGGAACCAGGAGAAGAACCCTGAGAAAATGCTTGCTCTAACCATATTTATTGATGAGAAAATTGAGACCAAGATTGGTGGTGAGACTTACTAAGATTTTACAGCTAATATGTGGACTATAATTTCTTCTGACTCCTGGCTCAGTAGCACTATTCCCATTTGACAGAGTTTCCACCTATCACCAATACGTATATGTGTTATACCATGTTAAACCTTAATACAATTCAAAGGAAAAAAAGAATTGAGGGTGGCACAAATGGTTACGTGCTTGACAGATACAATTCAAAGGAAAAAACAACAGTAAACAAAAATCACAAGTCACCTGTGTATATATAACACTCATTTCATTGAAAAAGTTCTAGGAGGTAAAAGAATCTACCACAGAAATTGAAACAATTTACAACCTCATACAAATAATAGCTGTTCTTTTGAAAGAAAGCAAGACAAGAACAGAAGGGAGGAAGGAAGAAAGAATGTCTCTCCACATTGTACTAGGCCTTGCCTATTTCTCTGATATCTCTACTCTTCTAACTCTGAAACAAAAACCAACTCACCCATTTTTCTTAAGCAGAGCCAATTCGGTTCTAACTCCTATCCTCTTAGTCACAGACTTACCTTAGCGTAACCAAATTCATCAAATTGCTTAGTTCACCAAAAGGGTCTTTTATTGTAACAGATTCACTCTCCTTTGAAGGCAGTTGTAGTTATAAATAGTATCCCCTCACAGTGCGATTTCACCGGAATTATACATTGTAAAGTGAACTCAATCATCAAATTTGTCTTTACTTGTGTATACTATAATAAGCATGGAGTTCCTGGGTGGTGCAAATGGTTGACTCACTCAGCCACTAACCAAAAGGTTAGCGAAGAAAGACTTGGGGATCTACTCCCTGAAGCTCAGCCATTGGCAACTTCATGGAGCACAGTTCCACTCTAACACACATGGGGTCGCCATGAGTCAGAAATTACTTGCTGGCAACTGGTGGTGTACACTAGGCATGATGTTTTATGTTTTTAAATTGACACAGAATCTATTCCCCTATATTATTTGGTTTCAGTATTTTC